ACCTAACCCGCGCGATTGAGCTGTATCCGGCCAATACGATGATGATAACGACAACTACTATGACGCGAATTTACAACCGCTGCGGGTAATTGGCAATTAATATTGTTTTCTTATAATAATTTTTTTTTCGCACCCGACCGGCGGATATTGGATTTACGACACGATGCGACCGGCAATTATCTCCGATCACGAACCGGGTCCCCCCTCGTCTTATCTTGAGCATACAACACGCATTAATAATTAGCTGTGCATGGACCGTCGAGATGAGCGACTTAAGTAGGTACACCTTCTTGTCGATGTGGATCTGACGGTTTGGACGACTTCAACGGTATGGCACGTTACTGGCCTGCATCAGCACGACAAGCCGAACATTAATTATTTTTATTGCCATAATTATGTTGTCAGTGAATGTAAAAACACTCGTTCGATGGTGTTCAATAAATACTGTCGAACCAAATGAAAATGTTAAGGTGGACACGTGTGGCGTGACGGAAACAGATAAAATGTGTAAAAAAAAAAAAAACAACCAGAGAAAATTGGTTTAAGTGGTTTATGAGTACGCTATACCGGAGGAATGGAGTCGAGACGTGTAAGAGGCTCAAAAACGGACGGTTATAATGTAAGTGTGTAAATATGGGTAATACAATTATTAAATTATGGAAATAATTAATGTGCATCAAAAACAATCATAGTAGAGTTTAGAGTGGCCGACTCCAAATAGATGAGAGTTATAGTACAAGGTAAATTCTCTATCCTTAGACTTTTATGAATATCTAATCAATTATACCACTCAAAAAGTATAACCTAGTTGAAACGAAGTGATGCGAGCCACCAAGAGGGTACAAAAAAAAATTGTTAAAATACCATTTTTGTTTTTTGATACAGTATCTTTTATGAATGTAACTTTTTTCTATATACCTGCATTAGTTTTACATATTTTTCCATAAATTACATTTTTTTTTCATTGACCATAAAAACGCATTAAACATACATTTTTCGTTTTTCTCTCGTGTAAAAATGTATTATCCAAGAAATCGTTATTCTTTGCTGTGGTAGATTTTGAAGACGGACAAAGTTCATTTCTCTCTCTGAGCTTTTCGAGGTTTTATATTCCAATAAAATCTTTCGCTCGTATATTAACATAAGATCATGAACATCAAAGTGTATAACTCGAGAAACCAACTTCGATGATGGGTGCCAAATAAGCATCACGGGTGCACTCGAATTCCGTCGGCAGTGTCAATATTGTATACATGCACGATTTATTATAGTCTTTTCATTGTTGCACGGTCAAGTCTAAGGAATGTTAATGCACTATGGCCGAATAATATATTAGCTGATGTCGTGTGTACTGTGTGAAGCCGTTTTGGAAGTCGGCAAACGTTTTTATTTCCGTCGTGACTTCGATGGCGCGAGCAACACAAAGAGGTGCACCTGTACTACAGTGAGTCCGTTTCTTATACCATTACGAATCCAAAATATTTAATGACTACATTAACAACCCAACCAAAACTCGAACGTGACATCACGGCGGCGTCCGTGCGATTATTAAGGGATCATACAAGTAGGTGTATAATTTCAACAAACTGACTATATTCCCAAGTATAGGAATTTATAGGACTAGTTAAATAATAATAATAATAATAGTAGGTCAATACTCGCCGCCGGAACAGAATAGTAGACTCGTTGAGAACAAAACATTTTTATATACGAGGCCGTCATGAAATTATTCATTTCATTATGTTTATATGATGTTTGTATCTAGGGCAGTAATTTCTTTAAATTGTTTAGTTAGGGTAGATCTCCTTATTTCTACTAATTAAAACTGGTTGTTAAATTGCGGACCAACCGGATAAATAATAACAAATTCCGTTTCCCACCGAACCGCTAATTTGTTGATTAGCAGACGTGTTATACTAATATTATATTATTAAGCCTCTGACTGGCGCTACCAAATTATCTATGTTTACTTCATTATCCTAAGGCCCAGTTAAAAGTTAAACTAGTCAATCGCATTACCATACAAGTATTTTACCATTTCAAGTTTTCCAAAACTAGTAATTAGATGATGAAAATTTACAATTACAAGCTGTTCGGATCACTGTATCCCTGTGGTATGAAAAATGATACCATAGCTCATGGATAACTATTGATAATCATATAAATTAATTAAAAATTAAAATAATTTTCTATCTGATCAAATTGTGAATCTAAATCTTTCTCGAATCAACTTTCGCGCACACAAAATTTCATAAAAATCTGTCCAGCCGTTCAGGAGGAGTTTGAATACTTACACACGGACAGAAGAAATGTATATATATAAAATTTAAGGCTCTGTAATTACATTCACTATTATTCAAAATAATCGTATCAAAATTATTCAATTTCGGACTTTGAAATTACAGTTACCATATTCCTAATACTGTTATACGGTTTTGGAAATAATCTGTACATACAAGTATGTATATATACAAGTATGTATATACCTGTACAAACAAGTGATCTGGGCCATCTTATTTAGAATGTAGATTATAAATATACGTGTAAATGTACAGACGCCGCCTCTTAAGTGTTGGGAATGTCACCGGCTTCGCGTCACCGTCCTTGTCAACCGCGGTCGAAGAAAAAGTGGCAAAACTAGGTTGTATTATTATCATAGACTTTTTAATAGTTTTCTCTAGCCGATTGACCTCGCGCCCTATATATATATATATATAATTTATACTGTAACGCGGTACGGTGACCTTTCACTGGGCATTTATTAAAAAAAAATACATGCGTGCCTGCAACAGACGAGTCCGACCGACTGCAGCTCGTGTAAATCTGGAGCAACACAAACAGCTGGGCCTATCGGAGCACGAAAATCGACCGTTTTGCAACTGGCAACTGTCTCCAGGTTAGACTTCTTCTGTAGGCGACACACGGCCGTTTCAAGTAATAATAATAGTGTAACAACCGTCGTGACGGTCTCGTAAAAAAAAAAAAGAAAAGTTTATTATATTGTGCTCGTTATGATAATAATAATATGTGGATCACTATATCGCGGTTGTTAAATCTTCATTGGCCGCATGAACGTGTCATCATTTAATAATAATAATATGCCCGTGGCCTGTGTAAGTATATCAAAAGTACAACACTGCGGTCGTCCACGTTTTTTGCGAAACCCTACCGGATCGTTGTGCAACGACTATATTATAAGTCATAGCGCCTACCTAGGTACTATATAACATGTATAATATCATAAGTCTCTGCCTATCTAATAATTATTGTAGGCCGTCTTCAGACGAGTCACGGTACATGGACTCGAAACTCGTCAACGTTCAACGTGAACTCTATATTATTATTATGATAATGAGCGTATCTTGGGCAACAAAAAAAAACACACACACACGATTTATTCCGTTTTTGTTGTACGACTGAGATTTGTTAAGATTCGCAAACACCTGGTAATAGTCATGGTAGGTACTAACTACTAGGTGTGTTTAACTACAAAAGTTATACTATAATACTTGTTGGTATGAAGACAGATGAACAGTACAATTAATATTTTAATAAAAGAACACCAAACCCGAATAACACCACAATTATAAATTTGTTAAGTCATCGAATACTTCAAGGAAGGACTAATATTCACATTTCGGTTTGATTATTACATAAGTCAATAAAAAGTTTACCAACAAATAACTTTAGCTTTTCTAGAAACTCGAGTGAGAGCTGTGTTGATTATAATATAAAAACTATTTTCAATGACCTTATTATCAACACCGGCCAAGACCGAATGTACACGAAGCACTTAACTCTCGATAGTGCCCATAAAAATGTTCCTCCGTGTCAATAATAGATAGATATTATGATACCATGTACACTGTACGGCTTTAAATTGATCATTCCAGGAAATTTGCCAACGCCAGACGACTTAATAAATAATATGAGGTGTGTTCCGGCGTTCGATTTCATAATGTATACACTAGATAAATTGATGGCGTTCGCGTGGCAAAAATGTCGTACCTGCTACAAATTAGATGTTTATGGAAAACCTATAACGATGCGTCCCACGCGCTATTTACGTATAACATAGCAGAGACCGGATTAAGTTGTAAATCGGTCTGTTGCAGTGATCCGGTATTTACTACCATATCATAAGCGTGGGTTTTAAACGAATGCGGAACGACACACTGCAAACAATCTATGACTCAAAAGAAAATACACCGATATTGTGTTAAATGTCGATAGAGTTTATCAGAAAGGCAAAGACTTAGAATAAATCCGAGATTGTATACTTAATATCGACTGAACGCGACGGTTTTTGGTTTAGAGAAGATGCGTTGGGGTAGAATAATCGTTTGCTTATACTGGATCAATAATAGGAAACAAATGGAGCATATCATACAAAATTACGTTTTTAATACATTAGTACTAGCTCTATCGAGGTGTAGGACTAGGGTGGCCGACCCCATGTAGTTGGAAGGTAAGGCGAAGATAAAGAAGAAGAAGAATACATTAGTACACATATTTTTACTTAATTTGGAAGTTTTTAATTATATGAAACGTAAATGTGTTATAATTTAAATACTCGTTTGTTTTTTCTAAAAAATAAAAATGTTTACAATTACCCTTTCCAATAACCCTATCTAAATCCAAATACTATCGACGCCACTGAATTATATACGGCTAATTTTTCAATAATACTGTACCTAATATTGAGCATTTTGAAAAATATAGGATTGTGTAATATAGGATGTTACAATGTCGTGAGAAAAAAATGGTTATTGGGTTTAAAATTTTAATTAATATTGTTAAATTGGAAATTATTTTTGAGGCATATTTTTTTGCATTTAGTTTTTTTACTCTTAAGACTCAAAATCATATTTTTATACTTTATCTAGTTATTAAGAGAAAAACGACTTAGATACTAAATAATTAATCACTTATCGATGACGCTTTATTTAGGCATCAATATAATTAATATTTTTTGTATTATTAATACAAACTAAATTTACCTGCGTGTATTCGGCGCACAGATCGATGGTTCCCACAAAGTCGCACACGTCGTCCACTGTCCAGGCGGACACTGTTGACTTTTCGGCTGCGTTCGGGCACGTCTGCCTGTCCGTGGACGACGCCGTGGTTGTCGTGGCCGCGGCCGCGGAACAGGACGAGACGCACGGCAGCGTCCGGTTGGCGGCTGCCTGGCACGCGGCCGATGGCGGTTTGGCCGCGGGCTTGACCGGTTTGGGTGACACGCTACCCAGCCGCTTTCCATTGCCGCCGGCCGCCTTTTCCCGGGATTTTTGCAGCGCCAGGTTGAATGCGGGTATGTTGAGAAACGTGTCGGCGAACGTACCGGCACCGTCCCATGGACCCATGCCGGGAACGATGGTCTTCCGAGACTTTTTGCAAGGACTGGACGACGACGACAAGTCCAGCGGATTCTGTTCCGAGGCAGCTTGATGGTTGGACGACGAAGACGACGACGAGCACGGTCGCTTCGTGCCACCACCGCCGCCACCAGTTTTGCTCATGAACGCGTCGAACTGCGACGAACGCACCATGGACAATAGGGCTTGGGTGGACGACATGTCCATCATTGGCGGAAACATTGGCACGTTGGTGCCCGGAATAGTGGGTGTGACGAACGGGAATCCCGGATTCAGCAGGCTGTCACCGTGATCTTTGCCGGTCGCCGAGAGTAGGCCTAGATGCAGGCCGTTCCGCGAAGGCAAGTATCTACAAAGAAAATATTTCATTAGAATTTTAACAAATCCACTGTGACCGAATTTTTACAGGTATCGAACACATTTTTTTTAATACAAATTACAATATATTTTTAATGGCATTTCAATGAAGTGAAACATTTAAAAATATTACATCAAAAGTGACTTAATTAATAAAGTTAATTTTGTTTTTTCTTAGCTCACGTCACATTTGTATGGAATAAGATAAAACATAACTTGATACTGATGTTTTCTAGTAATGTACAAAATTATACAAGAGGCATGCAAAAAGTGAAAGTTTAATGCGGCGTTTGCAGAGGATATATATATATATATATGTAGTTTAGTGGATAAGAGTATAAAAGCGCGTTAAGAGTAAATTAAAACCTAATATGTAGTGAAACGCATTGAAGAGAAATGAATCGAGATCAGGTAGGTGAGTAAGTAGAAAACGAATCATATACTTAGAGCTGTTTGCGTTTTGATAATGAGCTAGGGCTAAAGTCGGATACGGAAAACCAGTTATTTTCGGAGGCCAAGTGGTAAAATTAATTGAGAAATTTATTCGGGATATGTTATGCAAGTGAAGAAGATTAAAACGTATGGGCGACTAAATCACATTGTTTGTTGTGCCTTTTAATAGACGGGGGAATCGCTAATATGACGGTCGAAATGAAATGATTTGATGTGAAGACCCGTTAGAGAATTCCGCCGAGGCGTCGATTTGTTTTTTTTTAATTTATCTTTATATAATTAAATAGCGAGCATCGGTCTAAGCTTTGGGTTCACGGTCGTGTACATCTTCTTCTTAGCTTGGCGTGAAAAAAAAATATATAAAAATCACGACCGCTCTTTTTAAATCGATGGTTTTAAATCAAGTTATTTATAAGAAGTTATGGATAAATATATTATAATATACATATATATATATATAATTTTTTTATTTGTCCGCGATCACACGCGTTTAATGAATAACGATTACCGTTTAAACGGCGGCCAATATGTCCGAAGCGATTATATATCTATATATATCTATTTTTTATTCCGTGAGCATTATTATAGCCGTCGCGTTACATTATACAGCCAATACGTCTTATGTGTACACGGAACAGGTGTGTACCTCGCGCTCGCGAGCGCGTGATTACAAGGCGGCATGGAAGTGTTATAATGATATAGGCGACGATAATCACACGGGGGCAAAATTATTCTCCATATACAACGAGACGTGCCACAGCCATTTCGTGAGAATGCCACTGCCAAGTCTCCGCGGTACGAGTACTTAGGGTACGCACCACGTGTGTGCGTTGTGTGGTAAGACTTAAAAGCGTAATTACTGAGTGTGGACGTCACGCCGTCAATTTATTAAGAACTGCAGTAAAACTGATCAATACGCCAAGCCAAGCTAGGCCGTAAACGAGCTTTTTAACTTTCTTTATAGTTATTAGCGAAATGCGAAATACATGTATATTGACGGTTGACAATAATGGGGTATTTGGTCCGACATGTATCACACGGTAAGCAAATACTTAAATATATTGATAAATTTAACTAGGTTCTTAATGATAAATAATAACGAAGCCATAGAATCATAGGATAATTTATTATGAAAAGTGCGCTTATCATACAAAAAAAAAAAAAAAACGTAAAGACAATAAATGAAATCGTGAAATAATCATTATTTTACTTTCTGTAAAAAATTACAAGACCAGTATACACAGCAAAAACATATAAAAAAGATAGTTTTCAACATAATATCGTTTATGAAAAAATGTCTACTAATACTTTCCCAAACACATACAACTTAATGCATGAACTATTTAAAAAATATTAAACGTTTAGTCGTTACACCTAAATATTTCTCAACAAAAAGGGAACAATACGTGAACTGTTTTCTAACCGCCAAACCATCGGTTATGCTCAATTTGTATTCTGTAGTTTTCGGTTTTGTCTCTTGGACAGCCGAGATGACAAATGTAGAATTACACGTGCAAAAAGAAGCTTTTACGTGAAACCAGGTTTCTCTCCAGAGGTTGGAACGGCCCATCTATGATAAGCTGCACGTGTGTACTTGGTCGGACCCGAAGTGTACCACCATGCCTTTCTTGGGTCGTTATAATATGCACCGACTTAAACGCCGTCGCGGAATGAACGCGTTCTTGTTATTATTATTATTATTATTATTAAATCTTGCTCAGCTGACCGCTGAGAATGGCCGATATTAAATGCATGGTCGCCGGAGTAAATAAGATGGTAAATTATATTATTACGCCGCCATACGAAGCGCACGAGGTCGTGACAGTACGGTAATAATAACAATATTATTATATTTTATTTTATTATTATTATTTTTTTACTTTGTCTAATGAGCCGGACATCGCGTACAGCAGCGGCGGCGGCGCCTTAAACGCACACAACCGGCCAATTAGGCACAAGTTCACACGGGCAAACCTTTGCGGATTTCACGTACCCAGGAAGCGGCCACTGTTCGGCCAAACCCACGGCGGCTTACGGTACCACTTGGCTCCCATCGCAATAATAATAATAATACCTACTGTTATTATTGTACGATGTTACAATGCGTTTCGATAGCCAGGCAAAATGTCAGCGTGAAAGTTAATTTTTTGCCCAATTTCGCGCAGGATATTGTCTACCGTGTAATTGTCTGGGCAATACAACCGCTTTCCTGTCGTCTTCGCTGTAGTTATGTGTTATTTCACTATGGTGCAACAGCTACCGTACTGAATATGAATGTCATCCTGCCCATAAACAATGCATATTGTATTTTTGTGCGCTATGATAGGAACTCCGAGTTAATTTCAATAGCCATACACATATAAGTATGCGCTATTCACATGACAATCCCCCGTTTAAATGGCCTGTGATATAGGACAATAGTATATATTAAAGTTGGGCATTTGACATTAAGCATAAACTACGGATTGAAGGCTGACGGAGTCATTTTTGTATTTTGTAATTATGTTTATTCATTTAAAAAAAAAACACTCCGCTCGCTCTTAAATTAAATCTCACGAATATTATGCAATACTTGGAAAACTTGTGTTTTTACAATTTTTACAACACCGACTATTACACTTGCGGTTGATGTACAAAAATAGTGAGTATGTACGCCAACAGTATTTTTTTTTCTTTACAAGTTTTACTCGAATAAACCTATTTCATTGCCGCGGGAAAATATATTATGCTTATCAGTTTTGTTCATCAAGCGTTTATTTGCTCGTAAACATCGTTTAATTACCATAGCTCGTGCTTTCCACTATACCATAGGCGTCGTGCGAGTTAAACCGATGCGAAAATTGCCTATTACTTTTAATGTTCGATTGTTAACCGCAAATTCGAGTAAATACATAAATACATTTAATACATATATATCGGTACATTTATTATTACGGATAATATTCAGTGTATAGGTTTTTTTCTATCCGCCTATATTCTACTCTACATTAAAAACCTAGTTAACCTTCAATTTCTATAATACAGTGTAATACAACCATTATAATAAGCTATTATAAACTTATATTTTTAAAAACAACTTGGCGATGGCGTAATGTACAATTGAACAAGTACACGATTTTCCAAAAAGCATTACAAGCAAGACTTGAGCAAAATGTAATCAAAAGACGATCGATCATTGACAACCAAAACAAATCGATTACCGCACTAATTATTAGAATAACGCCAAACTCTGATTACAAGTCCATACTAGATTTCATTTCACTTTTCTTTTAAGTATAAAATAATACATGTTTTTTAGTATTTTTTAGATTCGTGATTTATACAGGGTGATATGCATAAATTATGATATTATATAATATGCACACAATATAAGTTCGAGATGGACTCACTCGTTGGGATTGGCGTTTTGATATTTGGCGGCCAGGCTGCGTATCAGGTCGCTGCAGTTTCGGTTAAGCGGGTTTGGCGCTGGACTGGCCACACGGTCGGCGGCGGCCGCCGAACCGGGCGGCGTGCCGGGATACGAAGACGACGGCGTGCCGCTGCGGGACGACGCCGAGTCGCCCGCCGCCGCCGGACTCAACCTCTCCGTTTTCACGTCGGCGGCCGCCACTTTATTGTTGTTGTTGTTAGTGTTAGACGTGTTGTTGTTGACGGGGTGTTCGATCTGCATACCGGCGATCCCCGGACGGCGGCTCTTCGACAAACCGAACGCGTCGATGTCTCTTTTGATGTCCACTGTAAACAAACAATAACAATCAAAAACCATTAAAGACTTTCATAGCTATATGTTTATTTTTTGTTATAAATGCACAGAAATCAAACTATTTAACTTGACTTTTTCGCCTTAACCCATCGCAAAAAATAACGCCATATTGACGACCCTTTGACAGAAGCCAATAATAGAAATCTAAACTTATAACACTTTTAAAGGGAGTCAAGTCATAATCTATTGCATAGTTATGCGGTAGTGTAACAAGTATATTTTTTATGAACATGAATTTTTGATTTGATAAACAATTAACACGGTCTCCTGTAGAGAAAAAATGTTGATTTTTGGCTTACACATCTTTATGCATAATGTGTATGTAGATATCTATCGATATACATAACTGAGTTTCTCAAAAACTGTATTCATGTTTCATATTTTAACACAAAGTCGAATATCCGCTAATCGAATATGATCACATTGTTGTTTAACATTTTAACGTTTACTAGCGCCTATTTTATTGACCCTTTTTTACAATTATTATTGATGTAATGATGTATTTTTATCTCGGGGGAAGATCTGATGTGTATTAAATGAGAGTGATCAACTCGACAATGTATTGTCACAATTTTTGTCCGAATTCATCTTGGAACGCTGCAGATGTTTATATAATATGGTGCCCGGCACTCAATTAAGCGCATAGTGCCTGCAAATCTTAACCCACAGATTCACTATTTCAAGAAAAAGCTAATTATATATTTTTTAAATATCACTTCAAAAAAAAAAAATAAGTTCCGAGATTTTGTGGATAACTTTTTTTTTTTGTTTGGGTCAGATTGGTTCTGAAATACGACAGCCGTTGACAGGGGCGACACGCACGTCGTTCGGTTCCCGTGCAAGATGTAGCTTGTGTCATGTTGTCTTATGATTTTGATCGGTTCACACGAACGTCGATAGAGTATATTAATTTATTATTATTTTTTTTGGCACCGCGTTCGTGTGTGAACACTATGACGAAAACCCTACCAGTCTGTTATAGTGTGTCTATTATCTACCACCTACGCCTTAGCTATACACCAACGGTTTTTCGTCTGTTCACGCTCTTTCGCCTGCTCTGGCGATTTTCTACATTGGATTTGGGCCAACCGATCGTCGTTTATGCCGAACACCCTATTATAACGCTGTATTATAATACAGTCTACAGATAACGCGCATGCATATCTAAATAGAATAGTGGAGCGTATCAAACGACTTAAATAGTGAAAAAAAAAATAGTTAGGTTCGCTGAAATAACACCGCTAGAATTAATCGAAACCGTGCCAATACCGTTACAGTATAATATTATTGTTATTATTGGTTTCAAATTACCTTTCTTATCATTGACACTATAACAGTCTATTTATACTCATCACAATAATAAACAGTCGTGTAATTGTTTTATTATTGGTCATAAATTATAATACAACAGTTAAAAGCGAATGTAATGCCTATAATATAATTAAATAACAATGACATGGAAATATTTTAACGCCAGCCATCATAGTGTCATACCGATACAGCAAAAGCTTACCTATTAGTGTTTCAAAATGTTATCGAAAAGTTTGTTAGTATTTATAATGGGTAGCCGATGACACTCGCTATAGGCTTGGCAGTAAACACACTTAAACTGACGTTTACCATAATCTACAACTTCCCTCTGTCAAAGCACACAAGCATAATCAATACCATTAAACAATGAAACGGGTTTATTGATTTAAAAAAAAGGTGACAAAACTGACTCACGTTGGTCACGAAGAACTGTTTTAATTTATGTAAAAAACTGGATATTGTTTAGTTAGTGAACAGGCGCAGGATGAACTTTTTTACTTTTGCATTACATTGGGAGGGGATATTGCGCCACAGACTTTCTCAACAGTTAACGCAGTCCGTCAATAATAATATAAATTATGCGGAATATCATATTATTATTCTAAACATTCGTTCGCACCTCCGCCGTCCACAAACTTGGCAGAATTTGGATACTTGTCCGCTCTAACAACAACGCTTTCTCGTCGCCCTTGACTCAGTGTTTTACTTGTAATCCGACGATACGTATAGGTGTTGGCTCGTGTCTAGACCGTTTTTCTAGATATTCTATTTTGTAAAGTCAATTCCGAATCGGGGATTGCATACAACCCTGCGGCGGTGACCCCGAAACGCGATTATAGTGGTACATTATTATCCAGTACGATATTATTACACGCAATATATTTATAATCGGTATATTATATTATTATTATCCAGTAGTCACGGTGGTGGTGGTGGTGGTGGTGATTTGTACGCCAGAGGTTAGAGGGGAAGGTGCGGCGGTACATGAGCGCAAAGAACAATGGACGTCAAAAAGTACATTATATTATGTTTTTTTTCTCTATTGGACACGTGAGAAATCTGTGTCCTTGTCGATTGTCATTCAGTAGCGGTCACACAACAAGCGCATACATGTAATATAAAAATACACGGACACCGGCAAGTTATTCTTCTACCCATTTGTCCCGGCGGCATTCCCTTCGATCGTTCACGGTGTGCGCAACTTTTTCGAACAATACATAATTACTATTATTATTATTATTACGTGTACAAGGATATATGGCAACAGGATAGTCAGTCAATAGCGTGCGTATATAATACATAATAGTTGACGCGCAAACGTCTTCACGTTATGATTTCTCGTAGCTGTTGTGGTCGTTGTTGTTGCTTCTTCTATTTTTTTTTTTTTTTTACCACAATAATAATTGTTGTCATTGACTTTTTTTAACGTATAGAGGCGACAATATCGCTGCCGGACAGTATCGGTCGGTAATAATATTGTATTCAGTATAATACTATACATTATTATAATACCGCATGATTTCGTGCCCGGCAAATTAGCGTCACGGCAATGACGTGTTGACTGCCACATAAATATCGTACACACGTGATTATGGTGCGCTTGAACTATGACACGCTAATAAGCGCAATCAATTATACCAGACACGGTGAACCATTAGACAGAGAGAGAGTGGTGTGTGTGTGTGTGTTTGTATGCGAGTTGGAAAGAGAAGAGACCGGTCGACCGACAGTGGTTTTCGCGTGGCGGCACCACAGGCTGCGACTGACTCAAAGAGAGCATAACAACAACAGTAATATTATCGTTATTAATATATTATATTATTATTATATTAGAACAGTTTCAAGGCGAGTCCTTCGGGATCGACTCCGCTGTTCGTCGCATCGAGTCGTTCTCAATTTACGCCCTTTACCCCCGAGCAGTGCGTATAGGAACACACTTGAAAATAAAAATGAAAAATTGGGAGGGGCAGGGGGACAACCCTTCTAGCTCCTCTGCGAGTTAAAAAAAAATTATATCCGATATCTAAAATTCCCAAAATCCATTACAAAATCTTAGGCCATCCCCCCTGAGTTTTCCACCGTGGCCGCCCTTGCTGCCGGTCTCTTTTGCAAATCGCGGCCAGTACCGGCCGTTTTTTGAACAACTGAAAATATGTTTAATTTAAAAAAAAATCCAAAGGGGTACAACTTGTAAATGTGCCGGGTTATAATTTTGAATAAATGACCACCCCTACAGCCTACCGGTATTTAATCGGAAGGCGATTGACTAAAACGGTAGCCGAACGTTAAACCGTTTTCGCTAAGATTAGACATTATGTCTTAGCATTATTACCGCATAAGTAGGTATATTAATATAGCCGCTAATACAAGCGTTCGTACATAAATATATTATAACCACCGTTGATAACGATAATAGTGTTTGTTTAATAGGCCGGCATCCTACCGATAACAGTAATAACGGGAGATAAAAAACCTTATCGTTTAAACAGCGCACACTATATTTTTTAATAGTAATATATTGTGTAAGGTACAATAATATCGTATTTCGCTTTGAACCACTTTTATCGTATACCGGAGAAAAGTGTGCATAAGCTTTCATACTGCATTGACTTCTCTGACTTAATCTACTTGGGGGATAAGACGCTGTGTCGCTGAGCCGTCAATATGGAAATAAGATATACCTATTATGATGTATGTACATTAAGAAGATTAGGAAATATACAATATAATAATACGTTACAACACGGCAAGTCACTAGGATATATTCATCATTATGTTGCAGCGGTAATAAAATGTGGACCAACCTTTAATTAGTGTCTGCAGTTACAACGTGTTAGGTATGTATATTATACTGAACTTCACCTACACGTTTGTATTTAGCACAGACGTGGGTAATAAACTAGATTTGAGATTTCTCATTAATGACAAATAGTGAAACTACCTTAGTTGATATATTTTATCAGCAGACAGCCAGTATAGTATATAGTTTGCTTATTTTCAAATAAAAATGCATAAAAACAACAAGACCAATCAATATTAGTAATGATTGGGGAAGTTTAAAGTATGTAAAATATGTTTTCATGCTCATGAATAACTAGGTCAGAGAAATGACAAATTAGTAGTATGTAGAAGAGATGCTAAATATTGGATACACAAAAATATGTGCGAGTTTACTGAACCGAATCTAATATGTCTTTTCAGTTGTAATTGGATTACTTTACAAAAACAAACTTTTTTTTTTAAGGCAAACGACCTATTGTAACGTTATAGCACATTTTCGTTTTTCACATTATAGGTATTCCCACTAATAATACCCAATTGTCAGTGGATATAGCGAGTAAGCAGAACCGTGTTAAATGTTACAATACGCAATCGCCTGTCGCTTCTTCGTTCCCTTTGTGTACATATCCACTGATTTGCTGTACAACATCAAACTTCAGACATAGTCTATGATTAAACGATTAGCGTGCAGTGTACTTGGGTATTAATAAACAGGCGGATTAGTAGCTCCGTCGTCATTCCTTTTTAATAATTTTTTTAACAACACGAACGCGGATTATTCGACCAACTATAATATACATAGAATTTTTTTTACTCACAATACTGATTATATTATTGGATTATTTCGTACATAACACTGCGGTTGCGGCGGTAGTGTTTC